GGCGTGGGTGATGGAGGAGGAAGAAGGGTTGAGGGTGGTCGGCTATGGTGGACGGGCGTGGGTGCCGGAGGAGGAAGAAGGGTTGAGGGCGGTTGGCTATGGTGGACGGGTGTGGGTGATGGAGGAGGGAGAAGGTTTGGAGGTGGTCGGCTATGGCAGACGGGTGTGGGTGATGGAGGAAGAAGAAGGGCTCGAGGTGGTCGGCTATGGTGGACGGGTGTGGGTGATGGAGGAAGAAGACGGGTTGGAGGTGGTCGACTATGGTGGACGAGTGTGGGTGAAGGAGGAGGAAGGAAAGTTGGAGGTGGTTGGCTATGGTGGACGGGTGTGGGTGATGGAGGAAGAAGAAGGGTTGGAGGTGGTCGGCTATGGTCGACGGGTGTGGGTGATGGAGGAAGAAGAAGGGTTGGAGGTGGTCGGCTATGGTCAACGGGTGTGGGTGATGGAGGAAGAAGAAGGGTTGGAGGTGGTCGGCTATGGTGGACGGGTGTGGGTGAAGGAGGAGGAAGGAGAGTTGGAGGTGGTCGGCTATGGTGGACGGGTGTGGGTGATGGAGGAGAAAGAAGGGTTGGAGGTGGTCGGCTATGGTGGACGGGTGTGGGTGATGGAGGAAGAAGAAGGGTTGGAGGTGGTCGGCTATGGTGGACGGGTGTGGGTGAAGGAAGAGGAAGGAGAGTTGAAGGTGGTCGGCTATGGTGGACGGGTGTGGGTGATGGAGGAGGAAGAGGGGTTGGAGGTGTTCGAGCTTGGAGGAGCAGTGGCGGCAGTGAAAGTTTATCGGACACACCCTAACTCTTAACCCCATGCCCCCTTTTCTACCCTGGTGCCCGGCCACCTCATACTATTCTCGGAAGGCACCTGTCCCGTAAAAGAGGAAGGACTGAGCGGGGCTACCGGATTGCAACGCACACACCTAATCATTCCGCAGATCACCGGTTGCAGCAAGGCTTAAGTGTGGACCGAACAGGTTACCGGGGACTGCAACACACACACAGATATAAATACCGAGAGTCACAAGTTATAGCAAGGGGTAGGGGTGGACTGAACAGGTTACTGGGGACTCCAACACACACACATACACATACCGGGAGTCACAAGTTACAGCAAGGGGTAGGGGTGGACTAAACAGGCTACTGGGGACTGCAACACACACACACACACATATCGGGAGTCACAAGTTACAGCAAGGGGTAGGGGTGGACTGAACAGGTTACTAGGGACTGCAACACACACACATACACATACCGGAAGTCACAAGTTACAACAAGGGGTAGGGGTGGACTGAACAGGCTACTGGGGACTGCAACACACACACACACACATAACGGGAGTCACCGGTTACAACAAGGGGTAGGGGTGGACTGAACAGGTTCCTGGGGACTGCAACCCACACACATACACATACCGAGAGTCACTGGTTACAGCAAGGGGTAGGGGTGGATTGAACAGGCTACTGGGACTGCAACACACACACAGACACATACCGGGAGTCACAAGTTACAGCGAGGGGTAGGGGTGGACTGAACAGGTTATTGGGGACTGCAACACACACTCATACACATACAGGGAGTCACAAGTTACAGCAAGGGGTAGGGCTGGACTGAACAGGCTACTGGGGAATGCAACACACATACACACATACCAGGAGTCACCGGTTACAACAAGGGGAAGGGGTGGACTTAACGAGTTACCGGGGACTGCAACCCACACACATACACATACCGGATGTCACCGGTTACAGCAGAGGATAAGGGTGGACTGAACAGGTTGTCGGGGACTGCAACACACACACATGCATGCACCAGATATGGTTGAAAGATAAGTCTTATCGCAATCTTATCAAAGGGAGAGTTTTACCGAAGTGTTCCCGAAAGAAAAGCAACACATACATGTGTCAAGAACCGCCAAGGGATGGGTTTAAAAGTAGTCGAAAGGGATCGCAGCTCATACATGTTTCAAGAACAGCTAAGAGGTCAGTTAGACAACAATCTTTTAAGGGGAAACATCACCGGAGCATCCCAGAAGGATACACACATGCATCCATATCAGCAAATTGACAAGACTGATGACTTGTACACTAGGGGAATGATCACCAAACTATCACAAGATGAAGCGCTTCACACCCCAACACCCAAATCAGCAATTTAACAAGATTGAGATCATCTACACTAGGGGAAACATCACCGAACTATCACAAGATGAAGCGCTTCCCACCCCAGCACCCAAATCAGCAATTTGACAAGATTGAGATCATCTACACTAGGGGAAACATCACCAAAGTATCACAAGATGCAGCGCAACACCCCCAAGCACCCAAATCAACAAAATGACAAGATTGAGATCATCTACACTAGGGGAAACATCACCAAAGTATCACAAGATGCAGCGCAACAACCCCAAGCACCCAGATCAACAAAATGACAAGATTGAGATCATCTACACTAGGGGAAACATCACCGTACTATCACAAGATGAAGCGCTTCACACCCCAACACCCAAATCAGCAATTTGACAAAATTGAGATCATCTACACTAGGGGAAACATCACCGAACTACCACAAGATGAAGCGCTTCACACCCCAGCACCTAAATCAGCAATTTGACAAGATTGAGATCATCTACACTAGGGGAAACATCACCGAACTATCACAAGATAAAGCGCTTCGCACCCCAGCACCCAAATCAGCAATTTGACAAGATTGAGATCATCTACACTAGGGGAAACATCACCGAAGTATCACAAGATGCAGCGCAACAACCCCAAGCACCCAAATCAACAATTTAACAAGTTTGAGATCATCTACACTAGGGGAAACATCACCGAAGTATCACAAGATGCAGCGCAACACACCCAAGCACCCAGATCAACAAAATGACAAGATTGAGATCATCTATACTATGGGAAACATCACCGAACTATCACAAGATGAAGCGCTTCACACCCCAGCACCCAAATCAATCAATTTGACAAGATTGAGATCATCTACACTAGGGGAAACATCACCGAAGTATCACAAGATGAAGCGCAACACACATAGGCATCCAAATCAGCAAGATGACAAGATTGATGACATCTACACTAGGGGAAACATTACCGAACTATCCTAGGATAAAGCGCAACACACATAGACATCCAAATCAGCAAAATGACACGATTGATGACATCTACACTAGAGGAAACATCACCGAACTATCCTAGGATGAAGTGCAACACACATAGGCATCCAAATCAGCAAGATGACAAGACTGATGACATCTACACTAGGGGAAACATCACCGAACTATCCTAGGATGAAGCGCTGTCGCGCGCGGTGGTCCTGCACCCCGCTACGTGCGCTGAACCTCATGGTCGTGTCACGCAGGATGTATTTCTGAAAAGGAACCAATCACCACTCCGACCGTGCGCGCGTGCTATTCCTCTCACGATGCCCTGCGACAGGTCGGGACGTCGCGTTGTACAACTTACCTGTACCCGAGGGGTTGTCACCACCCTTAGGTAGGCGTATCCCTGCTGAGCTACCGGCTCACATGCGAAGGCTTTTACATGCCTTTGTAGAGGTAGGTCGGATGAGGGCGTTTGCTCAATCGTTGTAGCATAAGATGGGGTACGCGCGGTAAGACGTCCAGAACTGACCCGTTAGATATTCATGTCGAACTTTTAAAAGGCAGTCTGTTTCCGTTACTGCGTAATGTATTATTCTCTTAATTGATATCAATCAAACCTTCTTTCTACCAAAGAGCGTCCTATCTTTCTTAACACGTTAGGACTTAATTGAACATCATAATAGTTAAGTTGGACATATGATGAATATGAAAGTATTACCGTCGAGAACCCTTCCTACTTTCACAAGTGCTGTGTGTCCGAGACTCTTCAATAGACCAGGTCTGGTTCAATCCAAAATCACACACAAAACAGACCTGCATAGAATAATGCAAAGACAGTTCACAAGCCATGCACTAACGGCGTCAACCATCAACCATTGACCTTGTCCCTTACTTCCCAAACCATGCATGACAGCCTTGTCTTTCCTGAGACGTAAGCCCAACCCCCTCACATTTCTTCAAAGGACCATTAAGAGTGACCAGGACCATTTAGGCAATGACCACAGGTGACAGTTTTACTGACCACAGGGTTTGACTTTAGAGGTGGGTATCAAGTCCAAGGGGAAAGTTGAATCAGTAACAACCGACCTGTTATCGAGAGATAACAGAAATTTGGGTCCTTTCTGTGAAACCTCTTCCTTGAAATGAAGTAGATAAACAAGAACCTGCACACACACACAGGTCAACAAAGATTCAACACCCCCACTTGATTTTCCACACATTGATATTCAAGGGTCAAGCCCTTAGACATGGGTAGTGAGCTCTGGGATCAACATCCCACGTCTAACTCTTAACGTCTATTCTCACAACCCTACCCTGAGTCGTTTGTCACTACCTCCGTTCTCTCAAGGAGTTTCATGCCTGTGTCCTAAGTCGTCTTTAGGGAAACTCATGTTTACCCTACTCTCAGTCCTTCCATTCTCTCTGTTGGAGATAAACGCACCGTTTGGTGCTTACGTTGATGAGATATAACTCATTCATCGTTGTGGTCTTTCATTCGAAAGTCATGGACAACTATGGACTATGCGGTGGTTCGTAAGTTTCTTTCTCCCGCGGTTCTAACATATTTCTTCGTTCCCTTTTTAGATGTGCAAAGACCTTGCTCCAACAGGAGCATTGTTCTTTCCTTTCTCTTCTATTTGTGTTAACATACTCAATTAGTAGGCTGATTCAGACATGAATCTCTTGCTACTTGATCAATATCAAGCAATCGGTTAGTCAAAGCAGACAGTCGAGTAAGTTACTCATGAGTAGTTGACTCTTTGCTTAGTCTCACTCACTGTATACATAAGATCTGATCAGAGTAACAGGATAGCTCACACATGAGCATCCTTCCTACAACAAATAGTTAAGGCCCTTACAGAAGCACCCTACTACTTGTTTTAGGTATCATTCTGAAGGATCTTGATGTCAGCCATGTCCCATAGGTTAATAACGGTCAGCGTGAATAATAGGCGACCCGCACAAGAGCCTCCTACTATCACGTGACAAGGTCCACTTCACGAGAGCATTAGGATAATCTTGACAAGGGTATCCTGTCGCCCTTCGGAAGCCAACTGTCTTGAGACCGGGTTAGTTTGGACAGAAGACGAATGTCTAGGGTATTCCTACAGGAGCACCCTTCTCTTAGGTTAATATAGAATCAGGTGGGTAATAGACAGACCCCAACAAAGCCCCCTCTACTGCTTTCCTTGGGTAATGAGTAGTCCAGCCGTTAAACAAGTAATAGGACGACTCCTACAGAAGCCTCCCTATTACCAGTTTGGTGGTCGAACTATTAGCGGGTAAGTAAGATGAGAAAGGAAGAGCAGAAACGTGATTTCCTACTCTTTGCAGATCGTTAGTCAGCCTTAGACTCAAGTGTGTGAATAGGATGACCCTCCCTAGAGTCTTCCTTATTATTTTCTAAGAGTCAGACCCCTCTTCCCGTCACGACGACAGTCGATCCGGTAGATGGTAAGATAACTCACACATGAATACCTAGTTTACTTCACAAGTTAGTGTTAGACATCCTTTCCCGTCACAACGACAGCCGATCTGGTAAGGCAGTGAGGCAACTCACACATGAGTGCCTAGTTTACTTCATAAGTCAATGTTAGACATCCTTTCCCGTCACGACGACAGTCGATCTGGTAAGGTAGTGAGGCAACTCACATATGAGTGCCTAAGTTAGCTCATAGTCAGTGTCAAAACCCCCCCTCCTGTCACGACGGCAACCGATCTGGTAGAGAGTACCTATTTTAGTTCATAAGTA